CAAAGGCGCACACGAGTGTATGATATATAATATTTTAGTTTATATAGGACGAATGTGGGACGAAATTCGCAAAGGGTATGACGTTTTTCGATACACCTAAGTAGAAAATCTCAAGTTTTTCCGGCCACGGTTGTGCATACAACGGACCTTTTATAATATTATGACAAATGTTAAGACATACAGACTTTGAGGGGTATTTTTTTCAACGATAATACAACGTTTTAAACTCCGCTCTTTCGGAGGAGCATATAGCAAAATTAAATAACTCAATAAATTGATAAATAAAACAGCCACCCTCATATTGATGTCTGTAAAAATTAGGGGAAATCATACCATATATACGACAATATATTATATTAATTGATTACGATAATTTGCATATAGGTTTATCAAACGGGGTGCAGCCATTGGGTATACTTCCCCTTCCCGTCAATCAAATCACATCAAATTTATATTTATTGTATATAACGTGTGAATACAAAGTATAAATATAAATTTTTGTTCAGTAAAAAAAAAAAAAAAAAGATTAATCAAAATGCCTAAAATTTTGCGAAATCGCTAAAAAAAATACAGTGTCATCTACCCGATTACAAAATATATCCACTATTGCATAATTTTTCAACCGTTTGTGGTTGAGTATCACTGCTGTAACGTTTAGTGCACATCTTATTGTATTAGTGTAATTTATATCGACGACGATTACACGTTAATAAAACATCCAATAACAGAATATATTATTATTAATATTTATTATATTATACTCGTTTGTTTAGGAAATACCGATGATTCTTTCATTATCTGTTCACATAATAGGTAGTATAATATAATATTATATATTATATGTATACCACAATGTGTCCACATAAACACGGTACAGAGTACACTCTACAACTCAGTTACTGATATATTAGTCGTCGGTACCATATACGTATTTTTGAATGTCGTTTGCGGGACATATATGAGACCAAACTATTGGCTCATAAATTACTATGACTTACGATTTTTTAACTCTTGTATTTTGCGCACGCGCAACAACTTCACTTTTTCCGTGTACCCTGTTTTCGTGGACACAAGGTATATATACATATATAAAATATTATACATGTATGTACAGTTACGCTGTCTGTATTCACATGTGGCGTATCATGAAGGTTTGACACATTTCAATGTACAAGTGTCATACATTCATGATATCATACACCTCGTCTTTGTACAGTATACAATAAGGGGTCGGTCAAAAATAATTACTTTTACTAATTTACTAATTTTCTATGTATGAATGACTTAAATGTAAAGTAAACTATGATATAATACGTATCTAAATAACAAAAATTAGTTTTCTAAACTTCATTGCAATATTCGTTTACACTATTTAAGAACTCAATACACAAAATCGGTCAAATAATATAGAACTGCTGTATAACAGTACACAAATTTAAATAGAAAATGCTTGAATTCTGTCGAATCGTTTTTCAAAGTATAAAGTATAATAACAATCAATAAAGTTTAATGTAATGTTCTGTAATTCAAAAAGGATAAGACAATTTTATTTCCGAACCGAATAGATTAACATAAATTGTACATCAATAATTCCAGTAAAATATGCATTGTAAATTTCGTATTTAAAAATATATATCAATAAGCTCACAATTGAAATGAATATCGTGTTAAATAACTGTATAAGATAATCAATGAGTATTATGATTTAGCTGCATGACCTGATAGTACGAGTTTAAAAAAAAAACAAATTTTTTTTATTCATAAACCAGTTATTATGTCATTTAAGTGGATTATACGTATAGCCCGTAGGTATCCATAATATATTTTATTACATCAAGTCTTCTGTGCACAATATATTATACACATATATTATTACGTATATATTTAAACTGTTATTTTTTTTTGTTTTCTTACGAACATTTCCCGTAGACGTTAGACTGTTGATAATCTACATATTTCTATAGTTTTGTTAACCGTTTACTCTATATTACAAAAGTAAACAACAATTACAACGCGTTGTATGTCTTTACGAATAATATATTAATACAAATTAATTTTTATTTGTCTGAATGCTTACGTAATATTATGTATATTAACGTTCTCGAAACGGTGTATGTTTTACTTCCAACGATTGAAATACAAGTTCCGTTAAACTTTAGAACAACTGTTGCGTCGATTTAAAAAAATAAACATTGTATATTTGGGGGAAAATTATGTAAAAAAAAAAATAGTTAGTTATAATACCTAATTGTTGTGTATAAAACTGTAAACTGAGTAAATGTGTTCAAAATTACGTTATAATTTCGTTTTTCTTCGTCTGTACATACTGCAAGATAACGCATTGAATGTAGTTTAATAATATACAAAATTAAATATTCAAAATCGTGTATTTCTCAAAAATTTCTCACATTAACCATTGTAATATTCATGGCTGAAAACTATAGTGATGTCCGTGACTTAAATTTTCATATTTTATTTCATGTTTTTACTCGCGGCATTCGTTAGTTCAAATATGTAGCAGGTCAGACAAATCAAACATCCATTAAACTCATTTCAATATATTATTATTCATACCGACCTCAGACAGTGTATATTGGGTACCCATCTCATATACAGCGCCGTCGATATAACAATAATTATTATTAGTTATTCTTTGAACGACTTTTGTTCGTCTATTGTTCGTCGTGTAACAATATTATTATTATTATTATTATTATTAGTATGCATAACGTGAAGTGAAAAACAAAAACTAAGATTTTTTGCTTAATATACTTAATACGTATTTTTTATATTATCACATACCTATATATATGCGTACATTTCCCAGGCGACGCATTTATAATTCCTTATTTCACGATTATATGCACTATTCGAAATAAAGAAGAGGTCGTTATTATACTTGTACGATTTTGAAAAAATATGCATTAAAATCACGAATATGGATAAAAATATTACGCCTACGTCGGATTTAGCTTCTCTGGACTGCTGGGATTATACAATCGAGTTGGAATGTCTTCGAGGTCCACAAGGTATACATATAAACATTATACCTATACTAAACACATTTTTGACAAATATCGTATGTTGGTATTATAAAATACGTCTTATACAACACACCCATTACTTTTTTAAATAAAAAGTAAAAAACATATATTATAGTGTTCACATGGTTTTAAAGAGAAAATGTTTGATAACTGTTGAACACTACACTCGTATAGGTACTAATCATATATCATATGTTATCAATTTCTTAGGAATCAATCAAAAACTTGTCTTCACAGACAACAAATAATACCTACTCTTCAAGAAATTAAATATTATACCGCTTAAACGTAATAACTAATAAAGAATTTTATGTCCATACAATCGTACCCGCGTATTATGTAGTAAATCATAATTATATTGGTTTGAGCTGAGAAATTACAATTTTTTTAGAAAGTTTAGACGTTGATTCTAATTTGTTTAGTAAATAATCAATTGTTAATGTTGAGTGTTGTCTAGTAAAAAATTTGCAATCAAATAGTACGTCTCTTGTCTCTCGATGTAAGCAGTATAATTCACATTACTAAATCTAATTTTAAATTAAATCAATGTCGTATATTATTAGGTACCTACTCATTTATTGATTCATACACTTACAATAAAATATGACGTATAGTGTAAAATACATATCATTTCAACTGAAAGTTTTATGATATAATATTCTGTTTCATTATGCATTTTAAATAATTGGTTTTAATTAAAATTATACGATCGGTTGAAATTATAAGTAATTAAATAATTATAAAACGTATTCCAAATCATTGATTTCAATAGGGAAATTGCACGTCTAATCGTGGGTAATTGAGAATTAAGTAGTGTTTAAACTCAAATATCGATATAATAATATGGCGGAGTAGTCTGTAATCATAATATATATTAACTATGAAGTGTGTGTGCATTTATATTATAATACATTTATAAATATATAGCCTCATAGGTAGTTATTAGGTAGGTAGGCAGGTACCTAAATATCATTTCATTTCCATCTTTAATGAGCCTATACCTAGCTCCGTGTGTATTTCTAACTTTCGACTACTGAACTAATTGCGACTGCAGTGTAGGTTTTATGTACTTAACTGTATTATAAAATTTAAAAATATATTTTTGTCATAAATTGGTCGAAAGTGTATACCTACGTGAGTATAAAATAATATATAATATGTGTTTTTTTTCTTGTCTGGTTTTGATGATTATCAACAAAAAAAGCCACAAAACAAAAATTATAAAGTAACGTTTTATGCAATACGAACGAATTATTACTGCCAAGACCAACCCGCAGAGCCGAGTGCGCAACATCGTTATAATATATTATATTATAGCTCTATAACGAAAACCAATTCGTGTGCAGTTGTATTACAATCGAGGTTAACCTGATAGGCTAACCCAGTTAGTACATAAGCTTTCAATGCAAAAAAACCGAATCGGAACGAAAATCAAAAAAATAAATAAATAATAGTTTTCTCCGTTTGATCACGAAGTCTCGCAGCGAAGAACCTTCCTGGCTATTCCTTCTATGGAATTGCGACGCTTTCGAAATACCACGTTTATGTTTAACTACCTTATTCTTATGTGTAGGTATAACACTATTACGCGAACACCGGACGAGGCGATTACTATAGCCGTTACACTCCCGAAGATCACGACCGATCGATATAATTAGAATAAATCCCCCTGCGTTTGACAAATCATTTAAGTTAATAAAGAAGCGTTATAATGATATATATATATATATAGTGTGAGTAGGTACACACGACGGCGTGATAGTATAATTGTTATCATTCGATTTCTAAGTGGAAATCTCGAATATTCAATCATGAAATCGTTGTCATTGTCCGTCTGAGTGTATTATTTATTATTGTTGTTGTACGCGTATAATATAATAATATGCGGTGCGTAAATCGATTGCTTTCGCGTTACAACTTATAATATTTATTATAATCGATTACGTGGTGTTGCAGACTTACAGCTAGCCGCTGAACTGGGCAAGACTCTGCTGGAGAGAAATAAAGAATTGGAGACCAACCTGAGGCAACAACAAAATGTCGTGGAAGATCGCAATCAAGAGATCGAGGTAATTGATAATATTACATTATGATTTAATCGTTGTAGACCGTATAATATAGAACGCAGCCTAACTTGCAGTGAGAAAAAAATTGTCAAACTTCAAAACATGTGTTTTTTACACGGTAACCTAAAAAAGACAATACTGCACGCGGGTTATTTCGTATTCACTGCACACACACATAATATATATATAAACAAAGAATGCGTTCTGTCTCGAAGTTCAAATTGTGACCACGTCTGGCTACAACGACAGTAATAATATAATATAATATGCGTTACTTGATAATAAAAATAGATTGTAATGACTTGTCATCCTGTACGCCGCATATTTAGTCCATGACATGCAACAATATTTCATTTCTGTTAATTATATACCTACACTTAAACATTAACTTTTGTTGCCATATACGCGCAGCGCTAAGGAATTTAAGACTCGAGTAGGTATAATGTATATCATATACAGCGTTATTAGAAAAACAGTCGTATAAAAATCAATCATTCTGCTGCAGAGCAGCTCGCTATATTTCGCAATAATTTTACAAACGCCTTTACTGCGCACAGGTGCTCGAACTAGATTTTTTTCCACTGACATTTACTAATTGATCAAACGTGACTTTGAATGTTGCCCGGCGAGCTGCAGCTGCGCGGTCGTAGGTGTATATACAAATAAAACGACGAGATGATAAAAAAAATTACAGACCTTCTGGTTAATATATTTGAAATCATCGCATCAACGATTATATGATCGCAGTGTGTGTTTCATCTGGTTTTGAAAGAGCCCGCCGCCGTAGGCATTATTTTAATATAGCTGTGGCAATGTTCCAACGATGCAGCAACGGACTCTCAGCCAGAGACCTTTCGGCATGAGGTCGGGCATGGACGCATTTTTTCCGTCAGTCTCGATCCTCGAGCGAAACCATTTCGTCGTGCCCACGTCGGGTTTAAGAATCATATTATATCGATATTAATATTATATTCTATTCTATTACGTGCGCCACACGATAACACACATACGTCGTTTAGCGCGCAAAATGAATTCCATCGAAAATCTGACCGAGTGGCCGGTCTTTCAAAAAGCCAACGAACAGGCCATCGGTTTGAATTTATACGAACTGGTCGTAACCGACTCTTTGATATGTTGGCAGTATCTCACCAAGCAAACGGCCGCTCTGAGAGAAGTGAACGATTCCAGGCTGCGCATTTACGAGCAGTTGGAAATCAGCATTCAGGATCTGGAGAGGAATAACCAGAGGCTCGTCCAAGAGAACATAAACGACAAAAAGCACATAAAAAGGTAACTATTTATGGTAATTTATCTCGCGTTCTGCATAATTCATTATAATATTGTTATGTATAGTGTTTTATTTTGATCGTTATTCAATTCAAATGTATTATACTTACCCATATATTATTATTATCGTACGCCATTAGTCTATACGATACAATCGAAAGTTTGGAAAGTCGCTGCGAAGACTTGCAGCACCTGGTCGACGACATGGGCCACTTAAAGAAAGACGACAGCGTGGTCAGCGAGGGCAGCGGCAGCGGAGGAGCAGTGATCGAAGATCAAGACGAATATGCTAAACTTGCTTCACAATTGGAGCATGCGAAAAATCTAAGAGTCAAGGAACAGAGAAAAGTGTCTGAACTAGAACAAAACGTGTCCTTACTCATACAGGTAAAAACTATAAGTCGTGAACAAGGCAATAATAGTAATAAAAGTATAATATGAATATTATAATATAATATAATATAAAACTATGACGAACGCGTATTACTCCAATAATAATATGATACGAGTGTAGGTACCGACACTGTATAATAAATAATCGTATCGAATTATGTCATTAAAATGCGTTAATTTGTAATTTTTACAGGAGAACACCAGTCTAGAAGAAAAAGTGAGTGTGATGCAACAAAAAGACGAAGAACTGAAAACGCTCCAAGATCAAATCGTCTATTTGGAAGAAATTAGGTGGGTCAACGGATTAACAAATAAATTATAACGGACACCAGCAGTGTGTTATATATATATGCAATTATATAAAATGATAAGTCTACAGAAACTATAAATACATTTAAAGTTAGATCGAATAACAAAATATTTTTATTCTTTTTTTTTATTTATTTAACGTTAAAGTTAACAATAGGATACGTCATTTATGTAGGCAATAACAATTAACTATATTAGAGTTACGTAAAATAATTTTCATATAGACACAATTATTAACTATTTCAATATAGATAACATCAATTAGGTATACTATTAAAAAGTACTAATCCATTTATTTATAAAAATAATAAAAACACGTTTTCGCCAATAATATAGGTACAAGTACACAGGCGGTACAGTATATTCACCTACCGGTTCCTTCTTAATGATTATCCTTGAAAATGGTTTACCTACCTCTATATTTCTGGGTTCAACACGGAAATAATAAATAAACAATCATGCCTACGCATTACGGGTAACTTTTGGATCAAATAAATTAATAATTATTTAATATAAACCATAGTGTTGTTTGTTATTATTTATTATAAATATATAGTTACTAGAAAAATAATTCTACTACAAATCTTAAACCGTACAATAGGTATAGGTTCAGATTTAAATTTTAATAAAGTTCACCAAATGAATTACAATTTATAGTTTTTCAATTTATAACACTGCGTTTTGTACGAACCGAAACTAGTTTTTTTTTAAAAATGTTTTTTCAAATTTCGTCAACCTTTTTAAACGAATTATCTTACTTACGTAATAAATTATATAGATGTAATACATTCTATAGATGAATTTTTTTTTTAAATAACGCAGTAGGTATAGCTTATAGGTATAGTTTTTTTTAATGTGATAAGAATGTCATTAGTCATTAGTCATTAGTATCATATGACAAATTTATAAATTGTATATTGTACACCTACCTATATTCTAACGTTTTAATAGATCAAAATAGTGAAAATAGTAATCAGGTGGGTACCCAAAGTCTTATAAAGAAATATTTTTTTTTTAGACAAGGAAATCTATGTCGGCGTTGTCAGCGCAGCACTGACCCAAACCTATTCGACGAGTACTCAGTGTACGACGACGATGATGACACGGATGATATTAGCGCTATAGGATCATATGTCGAAACTCACAAACACGAAGTCTTGCAGCAATTACAAGTATGTTTTTATTCTTAAACCGTAAAGAATTAAACGTGATACGGGTGCATTGTTATAAGACATGTTCATCATGTGGAACCCAAACGTTTTAAATTACAAGTACCTTAACAATAACAGACTATAGGTAGGTACTATCTGACTTCAAATGTATCTGCGTATTAGATATTTAATATGATCGGCTTGGACGGCCGCGTTTGAGTTTTGAATGCGATTCTAAAAAACATATTTTATTGTTACAATAAGAATAATCGCAGAGTAGAATTAAAAATAAAAGTATTAGCCGCGTTCGTTTGTATAAGCCGTTGAGGTATAAACGATCATGAGTCATTTCAATTTTCAAACGTGAGCAATTCGAAAAACCTAAACAGGATATTTGGCATTTCGCCTGAAGTAAAACGCTTAACGACGATAATTGTGTTATTTCGAGGTCCGAAGATCCAGACTCTATGACATTTTAAATCGGGTCACGACGCGTAGTTTCTAAGCTAATGTTCATAATATAGGCGCAATAATACAATAGGTAGGTGTAAACTCACACTCACGAGTGAAACTTATAAACAGTCATAGCCACCACCACATCGGGAAATCGATTAACGAAGAGCAGTGGCATAGAGATAAATTTAAAGAAGATGGACCGATCCAACTGTAACATATAACTTAACCCTTATATAACTTAACTCTTAAAATTAAGAGTTTTATCAAAAAAATTGTCAATTCGTCAAACATAATATGTAATAATAATCGCGATATTATACTGCAGAAGTATTCTATAGTATCATTCGAAACCCACCCTCGACTCGCTTAAATAACTTTAGGTAGTTCCACCTTATGCGAATATAACTCTATAAGTAAACTCGGCACTATAACTCGGCACCAGCACTGAATGACTGTATTGATTTTTGTTTTTACCCCGAAGGAGACGTTGGGGGAGAACTATTCCGAGGACAACCCGTACCGGATATTGGTGGACAAATACGAGGCGCTGTTGAAGATCCAACAGAAGCACAACGCGTTCACGCCGATGGTGCCGTCCGCGAACCACAACAACAACAACAACAACAGCAAGGACGGCCAGAACCGGGGCATATCGCTACACGAGGAGCTGCAGATGTCTGGGCAGTTCTCGTCGTTTAACGGCAACGCGTCGGACAGCGACGATAGCAGCGACGACGACGGCATGCCGACCAAGGGACGGGCGGCGCCAAGCGGAGGGGCCAATAATTGCAAGTACTCAGAGACGGAAACGACGTCGTCGTCGGGCTTTTCGGACGAGACGAGCAACAAGTGCACACAGACGGAGACGTTCTTCACCGGTTCGTTCCTGTGCACCATATCGGACGGCGACGACTGCCGGTTCAGCATCTACGACGACGCCAGCCCCGTGGAGAGCCGGTTCCGGAAGACGCCCGAGTACCGGCAGTTGTTCCGCGAGATATTCGCCGTGCTCAAGCGGGCGGCCGAGGCCAAGGACGAGGGTGAGCGGCTGCCGCTGCTCCAGGACGACGACCGCGGCTACGAGGGCGAAGACTTCGACGGCGCGGACGACTCGCCGTCTGTCGGCCGCTCGACCGCGTCGGCCACCGCCACTCCACGAGTGCCACCGGCCACGCCCGCCTGCGAGCACAACCCGCTGATGTCGACCATAGAGCAGTCGGTGACGGACGAAATGCGTCCGGCCACTCCGCCGCCACAGCAACCGCTGCAGGCGGACCAACAGCAGCAACCGCAACCACAGCAGAGAGCCGAACACCAGCAGAAACGAGCCGAACATCAGCAGCAGCAGCGACCGGCTGTGGCCGAGCAACAGCAGCAGCTGCTGCAGCAGGAGCCGCGCGCGGACGCCCGCCGTCACCGCCGGGACATCATCGAGGAGCTGGCGTCCACGGTCAAGCACAAGAAACACGTCCGGCACCGCAAGTCGGCCGCGGCCAGTCAACAGTCCAGGGACATCAGCCACCTGCTGGATTTCAAGTGGACCGACCAGGTGACGCGCCGGCCGCCCAGGAGCGGCAGCGGCGACAGGCCTCCGTCGTCGCACCGGTCCACGTGGTGCGCCGCGCCCAAGGACTGCAGCGCGGAAGCGTCGCCCGCCGTGGCCCAACCGTACGCGAGCACAGCGTCCCAGGAAGTGGCCCAGCTCAAGCTGCTGGAGATGTCGTACGCCGAGGTGTTGAGACGGAGGAAAGCGCCGCCGACGTCGTCCAACAGGCCGCAGTCGCAGCACATTAACAGAAACGCGCGTTGATGATAAGGGGTTATCAACTTATATGTTTGTTAACTTTACGTATTTAAATTTAATTTGTTTTTTCAAATCATTTATTCCTATAATATTATTATGAGCCCGTCGCGGGTGGAACAAAAAAAACAAAAAAAATTTAAAAAAAAAACATATTAAGACAATAAACTCGTCTCCCGATTAAATTTGTGATCCCTCGGAGTTTTGATTACTCCCATTTAATATTATTATTTAAATATTTTATTATTAATTTTTTTTTTTTATTAATGTTGATAATTCGCTATCAAGATTCATCGTGTCTTAATTTTGTACCTATATGTACCTTTATATAGTATTAGCGTACCTCTATATATTACTAAGATTGTTGCCACCGTTGGTTTTTTGTGTCCGTAATATTAATAACGATATAATATTACTTATTACGTTTTTTTATTCTTTGAGACAAAAATTAAGTTATATAATTATATTATAATATGTGATGCATGCGTCATATCATGAAAGAGATTTGTTTTTTTTTGGTAATATTTATTTACTTAAAAGAACTTTGATAAAAACTAATGTTTAATTTTGTTTTTTAATGATCTTTAAAATGAGAACTATTATATTATTGTGTGTACATATTCAAGTTTGAAAAGAAAAGTGAACGTATATCGTTTTAAACGGTTTTTTTAAGTTATTATTCCACAATCCTATTTTGCAGCTCTTCAACCGTGCAACATCCCACGAAAATATAAAAATAATATGTTATAATATATTATTATTTATTATAGTCTCCATACTATATAGTCGCTAACCATTTACATCGACACTAGACAAGATGCAATACGTCGTTTCACACGTGGCACATTTCAAACAATATTGAAGAGTGCTAATAAAAAAAATGAAAATTTGCATATATTAAAATAAGTATGCGAAAAACACTAAGTAGAGAGTGAACCAGTGAAGACGCGAAACGAAAAGTAAAATTAATATTGAAACGATAATTATGATTTCAGAGAGTTGGTTTGCTTTGGCGTTCATCTGTTTAATTACATTTACAAGGTAATGCGTAGTCGTATAGATATAATAATATATGTAACATATTATGTATATACATATACGTATCACATTATAATATTATTGTATAATGGTTTTGAAGACTTACCCATGCATCATGCATGAAGTTATTAATTTAAACGCAAACAATATAATTATTAATACCTATTTATAATTTTAACTGACCAGTGTGTAATATGTAGGTACAGTGGCGCCCAAGATATATTTTTCAGGTGTTGCAAGAAATAATTGTAAACCCGCTCTCATACTCAAAATTATATTATTTTATACATTTTTAATGTGTAATTTATATGTGCAGTTGCTACACCTAGTAATAGAGTTGGGTGCCACTGTGTAGGGTCCACGTCGAGAAGTAGGTATTTAGGGATCGGTGGGATGGGTGGAACTCTTTTAAATGGATATTATATTTGTATTTTATGTACAGGGTGATTCACCAAGTATACTCACCTCCATTTTCTTCATCGATAACGCAGATATTCAAAATCTGATTTTAAGAATTTTAAATAAGTATATGCCATATTTTCAAATTTTTGAACTTTTTCGTGTCCTGTGGAGATCAAATTTAGTTTTTCCAAATAACGATTACCCCCCACCCTTTAGGGGGAGCTTTTTATACAGTAAATTATTTGGCAAATAATTTTTCTGAAAATGGGTCGTATTAAAAACAATATTTCCAATTGGTAGTTTTTGGGTTATTTAACTTTGTGAACTAAGGATAATGGGTGTGGAAGGTATAGGAGTTTTAAAATTTTAGTGATTATTAAGTTGATTTTAAAAAAAATGGTACATTTGTACCTATAGTAATAATACTAGATCGTCTAGATCCCCGATATTACATCTACTTTATATTTTTGCAAAACTATTTTTAAGGACAATTATTTCAACACATACATTTTATTAAACCGAAAAATGTTTATTAACTTGTTCAAAATTTGATTAAAGCATTAAGGAGCATCAAAATATTTCAAAAAACGATCCGCCAAATAATATTTTGAATAACGATCAAGGGTTTTTATTTGAAAAACGGGAGTTGTAGACAATTGAGTAGGTACATGACAGTCCATAAGTATACTTATTTCTGCAGAACAACAATTTCGAGAATTTTCAAATACGGTCTACTTAAAAGTTCTAAAAATCAGAACCTTAATAAATGTACTATTAAAATAACAAAATGGGCGAGCATGCTTGGTGAATCATCCTGTATATATAATTAAAATATAATTATTGTTTAACAACTATATTATGATCAAATAAATAAAAAAAAAAAAAACAATTTTTGCTCTTTACCTGTTGCAGGTTGAACATTTATTTATACTTACCAATAATTATTATTATTTATTTCAATACTTTTCGTGTTATTTATAGGTATTGAATACTATACCTTACTTAAATATGGTAAATAACTGTTTATTTTTCTTCACTGAAATGGTTTTTCCCAATTAGTTGTAAAACTGAAATTTTTGTTTTAAAAAATGGCCATTTAACGACGAAGAGGGAGGGGTGACGGATAAATAAATTAGTTCCGCGGCGCCAACGTTCTAATAATAGGTACGTTTCTAAGTAATTGACGTTCTAAACTATCTAAAGTATAGATACGCCAAGTCGTAAATATAATAATATATACCTATTTTGAGTGGTAACTATGGTAGCACAAGTGGTTTTTGCTCTACGGGTTTTTCAATTAATTTAAAACCATATTTGAAAATAGGTATCACATATTATTACAGTAACATATTAGTAGTACCAGTACGCTATACTACTATAATATACCATAAACGATAACGACATACCGTCAGCTGTTGATCTAAGCGATTAATATTTAATAGGTATATAACATTAAAGCAATGATTTCACCGATGAAATCCTCGTACATGCCAAGCTACACGCTTATATAAGTAAAATTGTATGGTGAAAATTGCATGTAACTGTCATTTGTTTTAGAGTTAAGCCAAAAACCAAAATAGTTTTTGTCGAACATCAATTTTGTGAAAAAAATTCTGTTTTTCCTTAATTTGTAATTTGTTTTTCTCGTCGCTTTTGAAAACCACTGAGAATATTTTACTTTTGCCCCCCCCCCCCCCCCCCAAAAAAAAAGTACCAACTAGATTCACTTTCTTATCAGAAAATATGCTGTTGAAGAAAATCAAACCATTTTTATATTTTACTGTCTTAAAAGGTGATTGATAGACACAAATAAAAAAAAAAGCATACATCATTGTAAAATCAATACATTAATCACTCCACTCCGAATCTAAAACAAAATATATTTTGTCTAAAACTAGCCAAGGTAAAAAATAATGTCTATAATTAATTGTTTACAAAGTCCAATTTATTATCAGAAATGATGAAATTGTAAGCATTTTTTTTTATTCTAAGTGATAAGAGATACAAAAATAAATAAAAAATATGTAATTGTAAGACAATCATCTTTGAATCGTTCAGCTCAGAAACTAAAATATCAAAAAAGATACATAACGAAACAAAAATTATTTGTATATGAACACAAAATACAAATTTTTATTCGTCACTTATAGAGTAGGTACCTAATAAAACACTCTAATGTCAAAATTACCACAGATAGGTATTCGGAATTATAAAACAGATTAAGCAAGTGTGCCTGCAAGATAAGATTCTACCCTGCAGAGTGCAGGGTGCGTATCAACAATCACTGCACAAGGCAAGATGAAAATTAATTATAATTAGTGTTCGGATTTAAAGACAATAAAATGTCAAAAAAAAAGCGTTTAATTTATATTAAAAAAAAAATGTCACTCTGCTGTACAGTAGGTTACAAGTGGGTCATTGTATAATGCTGGGTTGTGTTACACTTGAAATCAATGATATTTCTATCATTTTATATAAGAAAAACGATTCTGAGCGGAGACGGTTTGTCAGTCTGGATATTTTATATTGTCATTAATTATTGGTATCATGTAAGTTGAATTAATATTTTAATATTATTATTTTTTATTCGTTTCTATTGTAATAAACAAAGCGTTAGAAATTAAAATACAAATTTGAGCGGTTTTTCGTAATTTTTCGGTGGTTTTTCCCGTGGCATTAAATAACTATTGATAAAATCGAAAAATGACCTCTCTGAAGTACCATCTTGAACAAATTTTCTAAAAGATAAGGTACTATATGTTGAAATCGAAGAACTCCTTCTGGTAGAAATTTCTTATACAGGATATAAAAAAAAATAAATAAAACACCATCATTGTAAAACCACTTGCTTCCTCGCTCCGCTAGGAATCTAAAAATTTAATTAGCAACTAAATAGTTTGCAAATTGTATATTTAACTAGTTTGTATCGAAAAAAATTCACTACCATGTACTTTAATAAATTGTCTTCAGTAAAACGTTGACGGTTTGGGCTTAAAATATCTTTGTAAAAATATAAAAATATCTTTCTACGTCCACGGAAGTTATCGGGGCGGACTGAAGAAACAATTTTGAATCTATAGTATCTACTCATATGAACCTATAATTTTAATCTACAGATAGGTATTATGAGTACTTTTCGCGATTAAAGATAGTACTACCTTTAATCGTGGTATTTTTATAACAGTAAATTAACTGTCCATACCAAACACTCGATAAAGCATTTAGCGATATGGATAAATATCGCAGATAATAAAACCCATTTGAAATAATCGCAGACAGACGACAATGCAGTCTTCAGAAAATCTTATCGATTTGTACTCTTAATACGCGTAGGTACGTCGTGTATAAAACTATAAAATCGATTGAAAATTAAACACAACAAAGGCGCATTTATAAGTGAAAAAGTGAAAAAGGCAAAACAAAAATACGTTCATCGTCGCTTACACATGACACACGTTTGTATATAAAAATTATTTCTCTATTATTATCAAAAAAAAAAAATCTTTTGCCTTAAAATCCGAACCCCAATTATAATCTACCTAATATTATAGTATTATAGTGATATCGAT